GATAGATAGATAGATAGATAGATAGATAGATAGATAGATAGATAGATCACTAAGCCCTGAATGTTTGAATTGAGCAGGTGTAGAGTGCATTTATATTGAAAAGCAGACAGGCACCTCTTACGTTTATGCGCGCTTGGTACTCGGCGCTACCGGCCGAGTTGCGTGCGACGCAACGATACACTCCCCCGTCTCGAATGAGCGGACTGCTGACGTTAACGTGAGACACGGTGAGGCCGTCCAACAGAGTGTACTGGCTGGTCTTGTAGGTGGAGTCCCGTACGACGGGCTCGTCATCCAGCGTCCAGGTGATGGAAGGGGGCGGAGCTCCTTTTGCAGCACACATGAGGGAGAAAGGCTCGCCGGGGTTCACCACCCGCTCGCTGAAGGAAGACACGATTCGAGGAGTACCATCTGAGAGGGAACAGAAGGAAACTTTGATTAAAACAAAATTAATTTGTGGATTTTGTCTTTTATAGAGCTAATGCTTGCTGAGCAGTCTCGGTCCACGTACCCTCTAATAAAATAATGGAAAAGTCCTGAGCAGTGTGGCCCTTCCGGGAAGCGAAGCACTGGTAGGCCCCAGAGTGGAACTTCTGCGCTGCAGTGATCTGCAGGGTGTCATTGTGTTGGCCCTGAATGGAGATGTGCTGATCAGACACAATGGGCTCCGTGTTCCTGTACCAGGTGATGATGTATTCAGGAGAGCCCTCCACGGTGCAGGTGAAGAACAGCGTGCTGCTGATGCCCGTTTTCAGATTCTTCGGAGACAAGGTGACCCGCAGTGGATCTGAGAGAATTACACACACACAAGGTCAGCATGCACATCTGAGCATGTCAGCACAAGTGCAGAACAAAATGCTAAACGTGTTTTCTAATGCATTGGTCTTCCATAATATCTCCTAAAGAGCCAAACTAGAATTTAAAATAAACTGGTTTAGTGATCTCAGTTCCTGCCATCTTAACCATCACATCTATGCTATTTTTAATAACGGCACTGTATTTTTTCCTTATGCTGTAAATATGCCCTTACTGTCTCGTTCATTTCATATTTTTTATATTTTCTACCTTTGTGTGAATTGTTTGGCTTACCTGTAACTTTGCTACTGGTACACCTGAATTTCCCCAATGAAGGCCAATAAAGGTTATGTATTTCTATTCCAATCTTCTAAATATAGAATTATATCATAATATTCTAGGACAAAATTTGACCAAGTTTTGTCAGTAAGTGGAAATTTTATAGAAGCTCTGTCAAAATGGCACCTGGATTTCCTGGGAAAACAAATCTGTCCCATGTGGCTCAAATTCTGTCTTTTAAGCCTAATCACCTCCTTTCAAGCTAACTAGCCGTACCACTTCCTGTCTCTCAGTTGCATCTCCTTTTAGCACCGTTAGCACCAGAACTGGTCCTAATCCCAAGCTGCAAGAGTGCGCTCTGATTGGCTGTTCGTAATTATTTTCAGACTTTGGGCCAGACTGACTGAGCTCACAGCCAGATTTAGCCCGGGGGCCACTACTTGATGACCACTGTTCTATGATTAGGTTTTAAAATGTTTCAAATAACCTTACGTCAGCTGTAAAATAAAATCCATTTTATATGTCAAATCCCAATTGTAACAGTGATTTTTTTTTTATTTAAATTTTGAATAGATTGTTAATGAAACAGCAATTTTTTTGCGGGGCTGATGTAAAAATAAAAGCTAGGCTGATATTGGTTTAGTAAGTCTAAAACCATCACGAAGGACTGATCTGAGTGTACAGTAGATGTTTTCGTGCACCAATCAGCAGCGGTGACTCCATTAGCTGGACACACTCATTAAAAAACAGCTGGAGATATCGCTTCACATCTCTGTCCGCTAGTGTGTTTGTAAGTGTGTCTGTGTGATAAAGACAGTACATGTGTGTGTGCAAATGTCAGTGAGCAATAAGGCAGCTGGTGGTGTATGCTGGGGGGCATTGCTGCATCTCAAACCCCCACCCCCCACCCCCCCACCCTGTCAGAGTCACAGAGTGTGCTGCCATGATGTGCCCACTGGCAAAGCTCGCTGCCTCTCTATCCTCTCCCTCCGTCTTGCCTCTCTGCCTTTGGTTCGTTGTATACCTCACATCGAGGGCGTTTATCTCGGCTGCTCTTATTATCTTGTTATTATGTGGCCGATAATCTCGTTCCAACGCCGTCTGGGTGTCTGATTGTCCCTTGTGTGACCCCTCGTCTTCGGTTCCACCTTCCTCACCCTCCTTCGCTTTGACGGTGAGCGGCGCTGGCAGCTGTGTTATGGAGTCAGACATTGCGATTTACTGCCCCTGTCTCTCTTTTTGAGGTCTGATGTGATGGGGCATCAAACAGCTCACACACATTTGTTGCACACGCGCCTGAAGTGTGACCAGCTTGACATGCGTGCCTCAAAACGGAAAACAGCCAAGCCTAGAAGTGTGTGTTCCTCTGCCAGGTTGATTCATTCAGAGAACAGCTGGGAGAGGCTGTCAGGTTATTTGTCAAGGTGTGTGTGTGTGTGTGTGTGGGGGGGGGGGGGGGGGGGGGGGCTCACACACCGATAATGTGAAGCTGTCCAGACACCTCCTTTGAGCCAAAGCTGTTAGTGACCTCGCAGGCGTAGCTGCCGCTGTCCTCCTGCCTCAGGTCGCTGATGGTCAATCCCGTCAGGCGCCGTGTCCAGCGAGCGTCCGAGGGCAGCGGCCGACCGTCCTTCAGCCAGCGCACGGTGGGGCTCGGGTATCCGCCCGCCGCACAGGGGAGCTCAATGCTCTGGCCGGCGTACACCTCCCCTGCTTGGAAACTGTCCAAGATGGTGGGCGAGGACTCGCTGGGGTCTGAGGGTGGAGATAGGTTCAAATGATTATACAGAGTTAAAAACAAAATGAACACTGAAAGTTTTTAAGGCTAAAAGAAGCAGAAAACTAGCTAAAATCTAAAAGTAACAAAACACTAGCTACAATGTAGAATGTAGAAGATTGCAAGGAAAATGTCGGAAAATAGTAGGTAGAAGTTAAAAGTTGCTAAACCTCTAGCTAAGAGATTAAAAAGTGGCAAAAGAAAAGCTAAAAGTAACAAAATGCTCTAAAAAAGTAACAAAAAACAGCTAGAAGAAGCAAGACGCTAGCTAAAAGATAAAATAAACAAAATTCCTTTTGAATGTAGCAAAACACTAACTAAAAGCTAAAAATAGCAAAAGTGTAGCTAAAAACTAAAACTAGCAAAAACACTTGCTAAAAGCAACAAAAAGCTAACTAAACAGAAAAACACCATCTAGTAGCAGCTTGTAGCAGTAGGGTAGCTAAAAGCTAAAAGTAGCAAATGTTCTCAGAAATAACAAACAGCCAGCTAAAAGGAGCAAAATACTAGCTAAAGAATAAAAAACTTTCGTCAAAAGTGGCAAAGCACTAACTAACAGCTAAAAGTAGTAATAGGCTAGCTAAAACGAAGACTAGAAAAACATTAGCTAAAAGCAACAAAAGGCTAGCTAAAAGTAACAAGAGTGACTAAAAGTTAAAGTAGCAAAAAAGCTAACTAAAAATAAAAAAGTAAAATATTATGGTTGCTAAAAGCCAGACATAGCAAAATGCTAGTTTATAATAGAAAACACTACTTAAAAGCTAAACATAGTGAGTTTAGCTTATAGCTAATAATAGCAAAACTGTAGCTCAAGGTAGGAAATGTCGAGCTAAATGCTAAAAGTAGCAGAATGATATCTAAAAAGCAGCAAAACAATAAAAAATAGAACTAATTTGCTGAAGCATATTTTTTATAAGAACATTTTTAAACAGCTAAAATAGCACAAAAGGTGCAGAAGTTGTTAAATTGCAACAAACATCTTAAAACAATTAAAAAAGTTACAACAGTTTGAATGCTGACTCAGGGTTCATATAATAAAACAAACAAACAAAAAATAAACAAAAGTAAACAAACAACATGTAGCAGCTCACCCATGACTGACAGTCGGGCCCCGTTGCTTTGCCGCGTCTCACCGCTGTACTTATGCTTGGTGATGCAGCGGTATGTGGACAGGCCGTCCTCCTTCTGAACATCTGAGATGTAAAGAGCCCCAAAGGAGGTCAGGGAGAACCGGTTACCTGAGGAACACACATTCAGCAGAGACCAACAATTATTTACCCAAAGAGGAAGTAGTGATAATCACAATCATCCTGTAAAATGACTTTCACCTTCCTTCTCGCTCTCACACTCTGGCACAATCACTTCGTGCTTACTGCACAAGTATGTTGTGCTGAAGACAAATAGCTGTCTGATCACTTCCTGCCTAATGACGCTGACAACTAAAACCTGGTTCTCCATCAGGACCTGGAGGACACCCATCGGTCACTTCCTCCACACAACAGACAGACCATCTACAAATACACACACTGATACGTCTATCTAAATGACCTTAAAACTGTTCAAATGTATCTATTTGTCCAGCTTTTGTTATGAGCCTCCATATTTGTAGTTTTAAAGCTGGTTCAGTCTTCATGTAGTGACTTCATCCAATACTTCCCTTCAAATTAATAGTGTCTTGCAAAGCCCAAAACTCTACTTTATTATGAGACATTTTGCATTACTCAGAACATTTTGGACATTTTTTATTAGCTCTTTTGGTTGCTCACTGCTGAAAGACAAAAGTTGGACATGTTTTTGCCCATGTCTGTGTGTGTTTCTGAGACCAAAATATTTCATGAATCGCTGGATGAATAAAACTAACAGGAAATAATCATCAGATGTACATCTACAACTGATCATTGTTTGCAGCTAACCTGATTCAAGATGGCTGCCACAGTCAACTGACTTTAAAACACAAAAATGGATGTAACTCAGCCAATTTTACAAATATTGACCTGAATTTTGGTGTGGTCATAGCGGGACTGATCCCTAACACGTATTCTGAATGCTCACAGATTGCACATCAGCTTTATTTGGAGTTAAATCTGTCTGTTAGTAAAATATCTCATGAGCCACAGATTTCAATAAAATGCATTTCTCTAAGGAATGCTAGGCCTTCATTTACTTAAGTTTAGAGGAACGTTGCTCTTGTCATATACTCCTGACACAAAACACCAACATTATGTTTCTTGTTGAAAGAAACATTAAAAAACATGAAAGTTTTATACTTTCCATCAATTCAAGACATCTCATGTGTTAATTAGTAAAAATCCCATAAAGGTAAACACATGGAATCACCGGTATAAACACCTATATTTATCAGGTTTAGCAAGGCATATTTTGAATTACCAGCCATGCTAAAAAAACTAAATCTTCTCAGGTTATAAATGATTAATTTATCACATTTGTTGTTTGGCATCTAAACTGCAGGTTAGCAGGTAAAATGTGTCCAACTAGGCCTGTTGCGATAAACAATAAATCAATTAATCACATGACAAATGAAAATTATCGACCTCATTTTCATTTATCGGCTTTATTGTTTCTTCATGTCTCTCTCTTTCTACTGAAGACATTGGATGATAAAAAGCTCAACTCCGGTGCTCTTCACTGACCCCTCCCTTTCTCTTTTTGCTTAAAAAAATCAGTTTTAACCATCCAAAATCACATTTTTGGATCGTTAAAAGCAGCTAAGCTGAGAAGCTAAGCTATGAGCTAAGCTAACAGGCCGACCTCTGGAAAAAACCTCAGTCTTGTCAAAGCTCTATAATTCAAAGTTGAAACCCGTGCCTTCATGTAAAAAAAATTTTCTCTGCAAAAAGAAGCTGAGAACTTGTTTACTGATTTTTTTTATTAAAAGCTTTGTGTGAAAAATGCTATGCTTAAGAGCTCAAAACACACCGAGCATCTGCCATTTTGAGAACCGAAAAAGGAAAGAGAGAAGCCCACGCCACGTCAAGTCAAGAGGCCTCCCTCCCATTTTTCTTAAAAAGACACGCTGCTCGCTGCCTCACTATCCATCCTTCGGTTCAAACAATCTTATACTGCCATCTGGTGGTCAAAAAAAGTACTACACATAAAAATGAATCAACACTTCTTAACTTTAACAATAATTATTGTCAAATTTCAAACAATATTATCGTTTATCGCGATAATTTCCGAGACAATTAATCATCTAGCAAAATTTGTTATCGTGACAGGCCTATGTTCAACTGCCTCAAAATTTGATCTAAAATTCCTGCCTTGGTCAGTCAGGAAGGTTGAGCGTGCACGCTTGAAGGTAGCAGTTATAGACTGTGCACGTTTGCGTCAAATGTGCTGCATAACCCGAGAGGAGGCATAGGCTACAATTTTACAGCAGCTTTTGTTTGCCCCCCCAGAATGAAGCCTTACAGGATAATGAGCACTTTAAGTCTGCTACTCCCACAACACCGAAGACATGCCTGTCACAACACTCTGACACAGGCAGGGAGAGAGAAACTGGGAGTGTAGAGGGGTGGGGGAGTCAGCGGGATCTGTCAGAGCCACACGTTTTGCCTCCGTCCTCTGCAGAGGACCCAATTTATCCCGTCTGCGAGCTCTGAAACAACGCTGATTACACAACACGCGCCCTCTGACCATAACTGAGTCCACTCCTCGTGTTTTCTCACACCGTCCGTCTTTTCTTCTTCTACTCCGACGTTTGCTCCCATTTTCTAAGCGGAGTGGCAGACAGAGTAAAATATTAAATAGTAAATCACTGCGCTCCTTCAGCCTTTATTCATATTGACTTGGCTGGGTAATGAGAAACAGAAGAACTGTGTTTCAATATTTTTCAGTAAAAGTTGTAAATTGTATTTGTCTTTAGTTTGTCTACATTGTTCAGAGACTAGTGGAGATCTAATATGGGTTTTCATCAACAGTGACTTTCTCTTAGCCTCTGCCATGAAATTTAGACTGATGAAGAACTCCGGCAACAGTTGCTGTATGCTCAGTCTCTCTCCTCTCACCTGCTGATGCTGATAACTCCTTCAGAGTGCTCAGAGTCAGAATGCTCACCTGTGTCTCCTCTCTCACTATTCTCCTTCCCATACAATCACTAGTTTGTGAGGGCAGCCTGCTCTTGGTAGATTTACACATGTCCCATATTCCTTCTGTTTCTTGATGATGGAGTTCATAGAACTACTGTGATCTTTAGGGCCTTGATGATGCTTCTGTATCCATCTCCTTACTTTTACTTTTGAGTAATCTTTTCTCTGAGTTGAAGTAGGACAGTCACTTTAAGGAGGTAATATTTACAGTCAAGCTCATTTTCATGTCGAAGATGCTTTTTTTCCCTTTTTGTTAACCTCCTTGTCATGCAAGAGTTCAGGTCTTAGGAGGTTAAGGTTAATTTATATCAACTGTAACAACAGTAAAAGCATAAAATATTAAAGCGGGTGAATACTTTTAATAGAGGCTGTACATCCCGTCATTCGTTCATTCATTCAACCTTTATTGATTACTTCCTGAAAGTTTATTTGAAATCCATCAAGCGGGTCACAATATATTTTGCTAACAGACATACAAAGGAACACATGCACTAACCTTATTGCCTTTAGCGCTGGACAAAAAGAAAAATATATACCAGTATATATACAATAACTGTATATACATGAAACGCCTATGAAACACCTCCTCCTACATGTCTCTGTGTGAGTGCAGCTACAGCGTGCGCTCTCAGGACATTATTACCTGCAGTGTCCCCTCAGTGAAAACTGAACTGGGCAAAAGGGCCTTCTCCTACGCCACTCCTGTTTCCTGGAACAGACATGTTCCTGTTTTCAGTTTTCTACATCGCTTTACAACCTAGCTTTTTTTTGGCTACTTTGTCCTTTAATTATCCTTTTAATTACCATTTTATTTTCATTTGTTTAAAAAAAACAACAAATTTGTATGCGTACTTTATGATTGTCTATTGTTGTCGCTGTTATTCACTGTTGTCATCACTCTTTGTTAAAATCCAGGTCTCTCTTGTAAATGAGTCCTCGTGGCTCAGTGGGACTTACCTGTTTAAATAAAGGTTGAATGAATGAATGAATATAAACACTGAGTGATCTCAAAAGGAAGGCTAAAATTGAAATCAACACATTTTCTAGTTTGAAACTATTTTTTTCATAACAGATTTACATTTACCAGAACTGCAAAACCCAAACAATTAAAAGCATTCAAAGAAGCTTCTGATGGACTGGATATTTTTGGGAGATTGTTCAGCTTCAAAGAGACACATTTAATTAAAAATAAATAAATAAATAAATAAAAATGGTGCAAAATGTCCATAATTCATTTGAGCAGATGTGGTCCAGATGGGAACCACTTCCATCTTTTTGTGCAACTAAACCAGAAAATCAGGTTTGTTGTACTTTGTTTCAATGATTAAAAAAAGCCTCGAATAAAGTAGAAAAAATAATTTATTTTACAACTTCAAGCTATTTAATAAGGAAACGATTTATATGGTTTTTAATTAAAATAATTTAGAATTTCATTTTCACAACTAATTTGCGTCTTTTGATCAAATCTATGGTTCACACACTGGATGAATATCTTGAAATTAAATCTAGGTTCTCAAATTTCATGACTATTTTAAACAAATAAAGTCAGATACAGATCACATCTTAAAATCCATTAAAACAAAGTTCATAAGCGTCTGTAGCACTGTGTCAGTAAACTGGTCAGATGTTCTCCCTGAATGTTCCCACAAAACATCTCAGAGTAATAAAATGTTTATTTTTTTTTATTCAACAAAACGGCAGCCTTGTAGTCACGAAACTGATCTGCAGCTAGAATCAATTCCAAAAACAGATAAAGGAAATGGGGAAAATATTGCAAAGTAAATATGTGCACGAGAATAAAAACACTAAAAGTATGACATTGTCTATAAATAGAACATATACTGTAGCTGATGTTGGTCCAGGAGTGTGTGTGTGTGTTAGCAGCCTCATTTTCTCACATGCAAATGAAGGCGTCAGTGCAAAGATAACGAGGCCCATATTTCCACCTCCTCAGCGGGGCCATTATTTATTGATGTTCTGCATCTCCCCCCCTCCCCCTCCAACTCTAACTCTTTCTTCATCCTCTCCCTGTTGCTAGGGCCTTCTTTACTGCCATCGTGTTAAGATTGTAGTGTACTTTCACTAATTAATAAATCCCGTCGTGCTCTACAACCGCCGAGGCTGACGGCAAC